ATCGGCAGTCATTTGGCTTCTCGATGTTAGTGTTGTGTTGACATTGAGACCATCACTCATATTTTTATTGATAGCAACATTTCAGATCATGTTTGGCAACATTTTAGGGCTTTATTTCAGATTACCATGAGTACAAGGGAGAGTTTCAGACATAGATTTTTGAGATGGGGGTATTCTGGACATTTTACAAGGACCGGGCACATTCGCATAATTATTCCTCTATTGATTTTTGGGTTTCTTTGGATTGAGAGGAATAATGCAAAGCACGTGAACATACACGTATGAGCTCGAAACGTATTATATGAAGAGTTTACCGTATGGTATCCTTCCTCCATATTGGTGGACTATTCCGACTGTAACATTGGCGTAATGACATGCAACTTGCAAAAATTTTTGGTATTTCTTTGACTCTCCTCCCATCTCTTCTTCCTATCATGGTTTTGTGGCGCACTCCATCATTTGGATCTGTCAAGATCAATATCGATGGTTATGTCAATGAAGGATTTGCGAGTGGGGGAGGCATCATCAGGGACTACGCAGGAAATTGTATCAGAATTTTCTCAACTTCATATGGACAATGCATGATTTAGAGGCAGAACTTAGGGCTATTCGTGATGAGATACTACTGACTAGAGATCTTAGTTTGTCAGATATTTGGGTTGAGTCAGACTCGACTATTGTCATTCACTGCATCACCAGATGTGGCGGACCGTGGCCTATCCAGGGGATATTCAAATAGATTGCAGATATCGTTTTCTTTAGCAGATATATGGTTTCCCACATCTTCAGAGAGATGAACCAAATTATAGATGCACTTGCTACCGAGGGTTGGCATCATCGTAGATACCGGACTATGGATCAGCCGACCTATCATAACATATCAGAGCGCTTATTTAGATTGATAGATATGGTTTGCCCAACACTAGAGTTTAGGTATTTGTATTTTGGTTTTACTTTTATTTTTGCTTTAACTTGTTCCTTTTGTAAGAGGAGTAGTAGGTTTTTTTTTTACTACTTTTCTTTTATTCTTTACTTTCACTGTCGGCGAGTAGTAGTTCCTTCTTTATTGATTTCATTTATATCATTTGTAAACACGGTATTTCTCCACCACAAGTGAGGACATATTAATAAATCTCGGATGTACCGCACTCCTTCCATACACAAAAAAAAAAAAAAAATTGATTATTATTCATGCTTGAAGTAGATTTGTTTCTATGCGACATTCTAAATCAAATTTAGTATTTGCATCACGTGTATACACTCGTATATTACTCAAATTGGATTTTTCCCTCTGTTAATCTCACAACTCTACATTTTTCCACTCAATGCTTTCTTACAAGTGTTTCAAAAATTTAATTCAATTTCAATCAAAATTTAACTCTTTAATTAAGTAAGGAACGTGATCTAAAATAATTCAAGAAGGTAGGAATTTGAGTTTTGAATTAAATGCTGATGATAAATTCAAGAAAGTATTTCTTGAATTTGAATTGGACGCTTTTAAATTTGAAATTATTTTTACTCAAAAAAATGAAAATTGTGCGCTGCTGGCAGATTTCCAAATTTTCATTTTTTTGCTAGAAAATTCAACTAGATATCAGTAAAAGAAACAAAAATAATTTGGATGCTAAATTAGCACACAAACAAGTTTTGGAATTTTTATGGATTGGAGACAAAAAAATTGAAAAACGCGAAAAACACAGAGAATGAAAAACAAAGATTCAAACAAAAGAAAAAAAAGATATAACCTTGATTTTTGGAGCCTTGCTCTGATACCAATTGATGCGAACCCATGTAACAATAACAGCTATATAACCCACGACAAATTAGAACAAACTTAAGAAAGTCAAGAATCAACGTTTGAAAAGTTCGACACAATAAATTATTGAACCAAATAATCAAAACAATCGCCGACAATATGTTGACTACATGATCACAAAACTCATGAACCTTACTAATGAATACCACAAAAACTTAATTCTTGATAAGTTTAGAATTAGTTCGATGAAGAATAAGAAGAAAACAATATGTCTTTCAACTAATCTCTCAATAAATTGTGTCTTTATAATGAATGGAATGAGTCCTATTTATAAGGGACTCATAAAACATATTTAAAAACGGAATTAATATTCAAAATATCAAAAATTATCATAAAATTAGAGTTTTAAATAAAATAACATTCTTTCCAAAAATTGAAAATTCGTTGCCGAATTTGTACTATTCGACTGCATAGTATTGGAACATGCAGCTACATAATTCCAAAAGAAAATCTCCTCTGAGTCTCGATATAGAGGCATGCAGTCGCATACCTAGGGTCGCATAGTTACTCTTTTTAGCTTTCTCGTCCGTTAGTGGACCAAGTTGATCCATTGTGTTTTTCTTCTAAGCCCAGCGTGAAATTTGTTCATTTGCTTGTTGTAATCGATATTTCGTCCATCGTATCTTGAGCAAGTAGTCTCATTACTTCTTTGACCCGCTTCACTCGTGACCTAGTCATATGCCCTTTTCAACGATCAAGGATACTTGCTCGGAATTGTCCTCATATCGCGATACGTTGAAAGTCGAGATATCTCAAAAAGTTACGTCATTATTAGAAAAAAATAGAATCGAAAAAGAAAAAAGTTGTCAACAACACTTTGCACATATGTACTGCATGATCTGAAATAAATACGTTGAAATATATCGATCAAAGTAATGACCAACCAAATAAAAAGGGCGCAATCCTAAATTAAATTTATTAGAAAAACTTGATATTTCTAGACCTGCAGCTCGAAAATCTAAAGGTGTATACTTATGTGAAAAGGAAATGAGAAAAATAAAGTCGTAATATGTAATATGCAATTCTTAACATAGTAATTTCGCAAAGATTGTGGTGGATAAAATCACAACTTCATATCATGTTATCTTGAAGATGCATGAAATTTGAAATACGTTATTGTTAACTCAACTAGTATGACTATTAATATTATCCATGAAGAATTTAATATGCTTGAATTATAATCCAAGTGAAATTATTATAAGGGGGAGTACATACGTATTGTACTATTTTTCCTTGACTAAAATTTTGTCTCATTAAATTTTCTTGACAATGATTTTAGTGGGACAACTTTTGTAGCGTATTTAAAAGAATAATGTACTCATTTTCGTTAATTAGGATTTTTCCTAATAAGGTTTTAATGATGCACATTTTTATGTGATAAATGTCTATAACTTACAAGACATTTACTCTTAACATATTTCGTATGAAGATGATGTTATTCGAAAACTATACAAGACAACATGTGATATATTTTAGAAATTTGCAATATTTATGATATTGACGTAGTAGAAGACAATGATTAATTGATACAAGAATTAAAATTAGGCAAGCAATTATACTCTGAGCTTGTTTGGGATGGATTAAAATTCAATTAAAATTGAAAATATAGTCGTTATTGGATCCCACTCGTCTAATAAAAGTCAACTCAAACGACTATATTTTCAATTTTAATCTGATTTTAATCCATCCAAAACAAGCTCTCTATTTCCTTCTATCAAGTTTTGCCCCCATTGAATTTCTTTGACAAAATTTTAATTAGCCATATATTTTGTAATGTGTCGTTCAAAAAAAATATTATAAAAAATATTATATTAGTAAATGACAATTATACATCGTGTAATCTTAGTTATTATTATTATTATTATTATTATTACTAGTTCTTCCTTATAAATTTTGGGATTTTGGTTGTTAATAAAGCACAAAGGTATCTTCACTTCTCTTTATTTTATAACAACTTGAATTTTGATTCTATTTATTTTCTTTTATTATTCTTTCCTTTTTTGTTAGTTTTATAACAGAATTAATTATGTTAATAACAAAATTAAAATGTTCGTTAAACAAAAAGTGTTTAAGTTACGTTATTTTAAAAAAATGTATTTTGAAATAATTGATTCATCGAGAATGTGTGATTGAGAAAGGTGAAAAAATTATTGATATAATAAAAAATATTATTTTATTAAAAAATATGTGTAGCTTCAAATTACCTCTAGTGAAAATTCTCCCCAATTTCACTTCGTTTTACCTATGCAACTGCGTACTCAGCTGTTAATTCTCTCCGTCCGCTCTAGGGCTTGAATATTACCCTCAAATTTCGAGCCCTAGAGGTATTTCCTCTACAGAAGTACTAAATCTAGGGGTTTTGAAGTAACGATCGAATCAATTGATTTGTGATGGCTTGGCAAAACGAAATATTGATGCGTGACGTCGCCAATGCTGGAATTGTCGTCAGCGACCGCATCGGCAGGACAATGGCCGCCCAGCTCGACCTCGAAGAATCCTTGGAAGCTTCTAGATACGCCAGTCATCCTTATTCCACTCACCCCCGCGAGGTACTGTCTATTTGTGGGTTTTTTTTTAAATTTTTTTTTTATGTGGTCGTGTATTAAGCGCCAGTGCCCATGAATACTCTTTTGGTAGCTGAATTGTACGGAAAATGGTCTGACATTAATTGATTACTGATAAATAAATAATTTCCATTATAATATAAGTAGCTGCATTGTTGGATAATTGTTTTGGATATTTATTCTTTGATTTAAACTTTTGATTTTAATTTATGATGATTCTGAGGATTTGGTACTGAATGAAAAAAAATTGTGATTGTTTTTCTGTTAAAATCATCATAAATGCGTTTGGATGCCTGCATTGTAAGGTACTTTGTCCATTTGTATTTTCAACTTCATGTGGGCTTGGGGATTAAGTGCCCAGTGGCCACGAATACTCTTGTCTTTAGGTAGCTGTATTATATGGTCTCTGGTTTGGATGCCTGCATTATAGGGTCCTTTTTCTATCTGTGTTTTCTACTTTATGTGTGCCTGGAGTGCCCATGAATACTTGTGTCTTTAGGCAGCTGCATTGTACTGTAAATAGCATTTATTTTTTTGTTGCTTGCATGTATCAGGTAGCTGCAAAATGTGATAATAGCTGCATTTTTGGTCTTTGTTTTTAATGTATGATGATTCTTAGGATTTAGTACTGGATAACAAAAAAGAATGTTTTTGTTGAATATGAGTAATCTATTGGGATGCCTGCATTATGTGATAATTGGAGCATTTGGTTAAAAAGTTTTTGTTCTTATTTACTGAAGGGAAATATTTTATTTTTGGATTATTAATGAGTATGTTTTTAATAGGAGTTGTCTGATAGTGGGAGTGAATATTTACAAATGTTTTTTATTTGTTTATCTAGGGTTATAGTGCTGAGAAACAAAACAAATAAAAGTTGCATTTATTAGCTGCAGTACACGATAATTGGTCTGAATCTTTAGAGTTTTCTTCACCTTTATCGTCTTATTCTTTGTTTGTCTAGGGTCTTGTCGTTTAAGAACTGCAAAGTGAAAAAAGGCTATATTTGCTAAAAATACAATTAAAAATTGTAGTTTGGAACTCATTGGAGTTTTTGGCATCTTTTCCGTTTCTATCTGAATTTTTTAATATAAAATTGCTAGAATAGAAAAAAATGTGATTTTTGAACTTTGTGGTTATACTTAAATCTATTTGATTACTTAAGCCGAATAATGAAAATGGCTAGCTGGAACAAAGTGAGTTTAATATTTAAAAGTTATTAATTATCGTAATTGAAATTAACAGAAGAAATAAAATACTGATAAAATTTTAATAAGTACAGTCAACCTTGCTATGATAATGGTACAACAGTTTGGATTTCGACGAGGTACTATCAGGCATCCTGTTTTGATGGATTTGGCTTGATTTATGATTGAGAATATGATTTATATGTATTCAACTAGTATGGAAGCTTAGTAAATCAGAACATGATTAGTATATTTTGATAAGAGCCGCATAAAGCTTTCTTTACTCAAGCAAAGATAAATCAGAACCAATTCCATGGGATTTGACATGAAAATTCAAGCCATTTGAAAACCTTAGAATTGTCAGATTTAAAGATATTTGAATTTTCAAATGTCAACCATTTTTTCCTTTTTGGGAAAGATCAAGATCATACATAGTAAATTGTTAATTCCCTTTCGTCGATGTCTCCAGTACCTCTGGTTTGTATAAAATCCAAATCCATAAAGAATCTGTAGTGGAAGTTAAACTGACAACTGTAGTAAAGCATGGGGTCATTTTTAATCTGGTTTATACTTATATCTTTTTGAACTCCAGAATTTGGACATACAGTAAATTAGTATACTAAATCATCTACAGGCCAGGTAAAGGTTCCATATATTCAACTAGCCAAAATAATGTGATATCTTCACAAAATTTTATTAGAGATTCCTATAGGGCTTTTAATGCACTCGTTCAAACTTGCTCTATGAATGAAAGAAGTTGGAATAAAAGTCCAATTCGGATTAGGAAACTTATTTTCTATTTTCCTTTTTTACTAGTTTAACTAGGAATTGTTTCTTTTTCTTTTCCTTCTCTAGTTAGGAAATATCTTTTTCTTTCCTTTCATGCAAGTAAATATGACATGAGGAAAAGACTACTGGCACTTTGTTGTATAGGTATTAGTGTTAAAAACTGTGGATCTAGAAACTGGATTTTACTTGGATGATATTAGAAGATTGTAGATTCTTGCAATTTCTCAAAAACATTGTCTAGGTCAGAGTGAGATGGCCGTGTTCTATCTCTGATAAAGTTTGGTTTAGCTGAGTTGAACTTAGTAATATCACCAGGTATCATTAGATTACATGTCTTATGTACTTGCTTTTATATGCACTGATTTTTCTTTTGACAAGACACAACTACAATAGTTAAGAGGATAAGGACCTCTAAAATCAAGCAAAATAAAATAAAGTTTAACATTGCAATATATTTTTTGAACTAAGAATAATTAGAGAGAAATGAGTGCCCTTGAACTCCTTATTCATAGAAATTCCCATGGATGCTAAAAACGAAGTATGGACTTTCACGTACTTTTTCCTTATAGCTTCTGTGTGTCACAGTTGAAATGAATGTGGCAACGTTTGTAACTATTGAGACTGATGGCTTAATGCATGATTGATAAAAATGTCATTCTTGATATATTTTGACAAATGGGTTTTTGCCTGCTTTGAAAGCTATTGAAATGGATCCATTCACTTTCTGATTGCAGTGGCCTCCTTTGTTTGAGGTTGTGGATACTTGGGAGTTGCCTCCCGTGTTGATTGAAAGATATAATGCAGCTGGTGGGGAGGGAACAGCATTATGTGGGATATTTCCAGAAATACGCAGGGCTTGGGCTTCAGTGGATAACTCTTTATTTCTTTGGCGGTTTGATAAGTGGTGAGAGTTGTGATATTGATTACATTTCTTAATAGATGAACACCTTCACTGAAGAATTGTAAATGTTTTGTTATGTTGTAAAAAATCTTGATAACTAAAATACTGATATGGAAAGTTATTGACAGCTAATGCTTAGCATTCATTTTGTGACATATTAAGGCTAATGAATGTATATGTTTTACAAGCACATGCTCTTCATTGTGAATTTGCGGAGTATTAACTTATCTGTAAAATCATTGCATTGCAGCAATGGATCCAATTGGGATAAACTAAGAGTAACCAGTTAGGTTGAGTAATAAAATTATAATAATGATGAAAATAGAAGAAAAGGAAGTCTATAATACCGTGGGACTACATAAGTTCTTAAATATGTCATTCTATATGAACTCAGAGAAATAGGTGCTTGCTCTATCATAAGCTGAAAGGAAAAGGATAGTACATGTTATGACTTAGTTCAGTTGAAGTTGCTGGAGTAGGAGATTTGGTCAACCTTTCTACTATGAAGATTCTATTAGGTGCAGTTAAGTTCTAGATATCTCAATTTAATTCAAAAACCATAATTATCCAATTTAACTGTAATAAAGTTCCAATCTTTCTCACCTTGCTGTGTGCTAAGGCAGGCTTATTGTGTGGAGAAGTGCTAATGGTAATGTATATTGATGGAATGATTATATCATTTATTTTTTCTCTTTATTTCCCACTATAATTGAAGAACATCTGCCTCCCCATATACTCCTTTCTCGTAATAGGACTTTTAGGTCTAAAATCTGAGCTGGAAAATAACACCATAATTTTTACCAAAGACCTATCTGGAAGTGGCCAGCTGCAGTGGCCCAAACTAAAAGCTAGAGACACGTCCATGATTTTATGAGCTGGAAATTAATCTATAAGGTAGCTTTGGATGAGTTATGTTGGAAAATCCACATATCTGATATCAATTATCTGAATATTTACTCCATATTATAAGAGGCCAATTGTTATTGTTTGGAAGGCTTTGTCTGCAAGATTTCGTGAGTGGGCTGCCTTAGAAGTGAGATATCTGTAGCATCAGTATTTGTGACTGCTGCTATCACTTGCAGCCTTGCTCAGAAGTCAGATCTAATGAGAATAAATCCACAGATCATTTGTTTTTTAGATCCTACATAAAATACCAACATTGGTTGGACACTAACTCTTCTTAGAGTTTATTGCAGCCAACTATCTTTTATTGTATCGTTCATTGTTATGTTATAATTAGACTGACGTCAAGGATTCAAATATATAACTTCTCCTGGCATTGTAATTTTTCTGCTGAGATTTCCCCAAGATGTTCTTTTTATTACTTCTAAACCCTCCAATGCTTTTATGAGTACGAAGGCATTTCCATTTTACATCAAATTCTTCAAGTTAAAATTCCGTGGGCAATAAATCTTGTGAACATTGATTTGATTGTATGAACTCAACCAATTTCAGCAAGTCACACATACTGAAGAAAGTGACAATGGGCTTGATGTTGAGTGTGGTGGTGTGGATGGTATGATGTCATAAGGGTTGGAAGTGGATGGTGCCAAATGCTCATTTATGATTCATGACTGATGATTACAGTGGCATAATATGTAAATATGTGCATGTATTCTGCAGGCATGAAACACAGTTATGAAGTATGAGAGATTGCATTACTCTAGTCAAGAAGGAAGCGTGAAAATAACTTGTAATTGAAATAGGAGACAAAACAATCATTTTGTTCAGGGTATAGAATTGAATGGTGGCGGTTGTGACGACCTGAGTTCGAGGATTTGAGCGTCACTAAAATCATATTGTGAACATAAAAAAAATTGGTTTCTAGAACTTGAAATTTTATTGAATATTCTCAAAAAAATAAAAGAGTTAATCCTTTGAAACTTGGCCTCAAATAAAAATTTACTAAATCAATACTAAATAAGTTCTTAAATAAATATATGCCTGGTGGGTCTCTTTTCACTTGCTACTTCACCGGCCTTCTCCTGCCTTGAGACGAAAATCTATACTCAACATAGGTGGAGTGGAATTTTCATGTGTAGCGCTACTATACTCCTGTCCAAACTTAAATCATACATGAAGGACCTCATAATCAATGTTCCAAAAACATAGCTTACGTATATAATCTCATAAAATACTTATACACTTACCTATATCTTGTGGAATTGATAAAAAAAATACTGGAATATATTTAGGACTTCAACCCTTACCCACGTATTAATGAATATAGTATATTCAATTGTGTGTATTTCACAAAGAAATGAATGTACTTGAAAATGGAATATATGATACCTATTTATATGGACCGGAATATATGATACCTATTTATAGGGACCACTATGCTTTGAGAGTTCTAATTCAATTGAACTTTGAATTTTAAAAGTGATAAAATTTTATCATTATCTCAATCATATTTCGGTTAATGAGATAAGCTAATGAATTTCAAATTAAAAAAAAAAAAAATTATCTCCATGATTTCTAAAATTAAATATAGTAGAGATAAAATCAAAATGTTATCTTAATAATTTAAAATTTCAATTTTAATTAAAAGAGATAAAATTAAAACATTATCTCAATTATTTAATAAAATTAAATAAGATTTTAACTACTTGGGCTTAAACCCAAAGCGAAAAATAAAACAAAAGGCGTGGGCTATAATTTCACATAATGAGCTTTCATATAATTGATTGGGATAAAAAATTAATTGTATCTTTTTTTTTAACGGGCCAAACCTTAGTTAATAAAATTAGGTCATAGGTACGGGTATTGCAATCTACCCCCGTAACAGTAAATTTCGACCTTGTAATTCATCAAAGAGTTGTGGATACTTAGCTCACATCTCTACTTCGCTTCCAGGTTGCCTTTTAGATTGAGTGATTGTGCCATTGTACTTTTACTAAGGGGATTACCTTATTCCTGAGCCCGCTTGAAATTTTTGATTAATGATATAATTGACACTTCGTCGTAGCTGTAACTTAATGGACTGATGGTTGACCACATGAGTTGGATCAGGAACGTACTTTCTAAACATTGACACATGGAAGACGTGCATAATCGAAATTTCTGGGGGGTAAAGCTAATTGATATGCGACATATCCAATACGTTGCAAGATTTAAAATGGGCTAATGAACCTTGGTCGCAACTTTCCCTTGTCAAAACTTAACACTCCTTTCATTGGTGCTATCTTGAGAAATACTTTGCCTCGTACTGAAAATTCCAATTCTTCTATTAGCATAACTCTTTTGTTGGGCAATTTTCATACTAGCTCGAATTTTCTCAATAGCCTGCACTGTCTATTCCATGATCTCTGAACCCAAAATCTTTTGCTCACCGACCTCATCCCAATGAACTGGTGATCTACACTTCCTCCTATATAATGCCTCATATGGTGGCATGCCAATAGAAGCGTGATAACTGTTGTTGTATGTAAACTCAATTAAGGGTAAATGTTTATCCCAATGTCCTCCAAAATCAAGGACACATGTTTGAAGCATATCTTCCGGTGTTTGAATCGTACGCTTAGACTTCCCATTTGTCTGATGGTGGAAAGCTGTACTAAATTTTACCTTGGTTCTCATAGTTTGGTATAAACTTTTCCAGAAATTCGACGTGAACCTTGGATCCCTATCTGATACGATTGAAAAGGGCACACCATGCAACCTTCCTATCTTATTCACATACAACTGTGCTAATTGGTCTATTGAAAATTTCATTCGAATCGACAAGAAATGAGCTGATTTGGTGAGTCCCACAATGACCCAAGTAACCTCATTATCCCTTGTTGACTTTGGGAAATCGATCACAAAGTCCATCGTTACATGCTCCCACTTCCATTCCGGAACTTCTAACGGCTTAAGCAATCTTGATGGTCGCTGGTGTTCAGCGTTAGTTTTTGAATTAGGCACCTATTTATTTATGCAAGTTGGCTATTTATTTTTGGTTTGCTATAAAATATATTCGCCCAAAACAGTAATTTAGTTTATAACCTGCAAGCATTCACTTGGAACTCAAACTCTTCAGATTTTCTTTATCATTTATCTAAAACATTCACAAGTTTTTGCTGTCTTCTAGCTTCCGTTGGAATTTTTTTTGCAATCTTTATATCTAAGAATCAGTATATCTACCATTTTTTTTGGTGGAAAATAATTATTATGTTATCCAATATTTCTAAATTTTTACTCTTCCTGTCATTTAGGGATGGTCAATGTCCTGAATATACCGGGGAGGAACAAGCTATTTTTGCTGTTGGTCTGGCCAAAGCCAAGCCCGGTGTGTTTATTGAAGCTATTCAATATCTTTTAGTCTTGGCAACTCCTGTTGAGGTTGTTAACTTCCCTTACCTTTTAGTACTTTTTAAATGAATTCTCATGGAATATTGTGTTTATTGGAGGATTATATGATAATTTTACATGGATACCATATATGATGGTGAAGTTCCATTTTTCTTCTGTGCTTGCCTGGTTAGTGCTTACCTTCTAATTTTGTTACTGATTCTTAAATTTTTTTGATAAGCATGAGTGTGGAAAGAGTTTGCACGAGAAGGGAATTTGGAAACTGAAATTAAGGGTATCTTCAGAGCCTTGTTTTCCCATGTTTTCAAAGAAACAACGTAGAAAAAAATAAAAATAATTTATTTTGTATTATTTTAATCAATATGTCCTCGACGTATCCATGTCCCATGGAAGTGTTTCATACCTTCTATATATCTTGTATTCAGATGCAATTCTCATATCTTGAAGTTGATGGACCAGCAGTTATGTCAGCCTAGATTACTCCTGTACACAACCAGACATTGCCTATGTTGTTTAAATGACTATTTTTGTGGGACATACGCTACTCTAATACTCTTAGCGCTAAAGAAAGTGATTCCATGCTTAATTCAGTGGGATTGACCCATGAAGCGAGCACTGTATTCATGTTGATGATAATAGAGATTGTTGAAGTATTTGGTTCAATTATTGGCAAGAAAGGAGGATTCGAAGAACACACAATGCATAAAATAAGACTGGATTAGATGAAATGGAGAACTGCTATGGGGATTCAGTATGAAAGGAGATGTCTATAAGGTTTCACAGGCTATTAGATTAACTTGTTTTGTGGTACTGAGAGGTTCCCTTTAGCTATAGTAGATATATTGATAAAAATAGTCATTATAGAAGATCATGCTGTCCCAAAGAGAATTTCATAAGAATAAAGGTCCAGTTATTGACAAGGAGGACTTGAAGAGGATGTAGCACAGAATTTGATCAAATGAAGAAGTGCTACAGGGATTCTATGTGATAGGAAGAAATAAGATTAAAATACAGTTTTGACAAAACTTTAGACTAGCTAGGCTTTATGATACCGAACGATGCAATTTTAAAGGACAAAATGTCCATAAGACGAACATCTTGTAAATGAAGATGTTAGGATGGATGGGTGACCATTTTAGAATGTATAAGGAGGAAATAGAATCTATGCCTACAATTAGAGGTGACTTCAGTTGTAATTAAATTAAGGGAATGGCATGGTTGGGTATGTCTTGTCTAGATTCAAAGATGATTCCATTCACAAAAGTGATGAGATCTCTATGGAAAATATTGGAAGGCGAGGTTGGTGAAAATTAGAATTAGTTGTGAAGGATTTGATTGCATTGGAAATTCTTGTAAATTTTAGCGACAAATCGAACACATTGGCTCCAAAAAAATATGAATTCATGTAGCTTGCTCAAATTTATTAGAAATAAGTTAGTTTTCTGTTATCTTTATTGCACGTGTCAGTAATGGATGATGCTAAGATATTTCCTATCATTCTGACCATAGCCAATTTCTTGCATCATATATTTAGATATATATTTAGTTTTCTTTAGTTTCCAGTATCCAATTCCAGGTAATGGTTCTTAGCATCTGATGCAAATTGACTCTTTTCTGTCCACACCCTAAAATGTTTAGTCCACCTTTGAAAAATGAACTGGTTAATTGCATCAAACTATGTCACTTATTGGGTAAATAATGTACCCTGTTTTATGCTACATCTCAAGGTTATGCTATTTCTTTCATTTCTAGTCTTCTCGTTCATGTACTCTCGTATCTCCCCTTCCACATGTTTTCTTCTGTGTAGAGCATTACTAAGTAACTCTTAAGAATATGAAAATGTTCTCTTATGGACAGTGCAAAGGTGTATATATGAACTAATTCGTCCTACTTTTAACTTGCAGAATGTGAATATTTGGTCCTGTAAATTTTATATTTTTGTGTACATTTTTTGGGAGTTTTTATCAGATTAGAAGTTGTATTTCAACTTCAATTTTTCTTGGTGCTGGGTTCCTACTAATCATTTTCATTTTCTAATGACAATTTTTCCTTTCTTTTTTTTCCATCTCTCCATGCTTTTATGTTCTAAAATTTCTATTTCCCTTGTATCTTGTGGATATATTTTGCAACCAGCTGATCCTTGTTGGAGTGTGTTGTTCTGGAAGGGGTGATGGAACCGATCCATATGAACAGCTCTCCCTTCAGCCATTACCAGAGTACACAATTCCATCGGATGGAGTGACTATGACATGCATCACTTGCACTGATAGAGGTCATATATTTCTGGCGGGGCGTGATGGTCACATTTATGAAATGCAATATACAACTGGTTCAGGTTGGCTCAAACGGTGCCGTAAAGTCTGTCTAACTGCTGGTCTGGGAAGTGTCATTTCAAGGTAGTTCTTCTTTCATGTGCAGAGTTCATCAGTATTATATTGTGCCATGTCCTGTATTCAGATGTTCACATTCCTGGAAGATTGTTTATTATTTTTCTGTTTAAATTAGAGTTGGTCTTTTAACCTTATAGATGGTTTTTAACCTTATAGATGGTTTTTTGGTAATGTGATTACATCATCTTCTGCGTGTTCTAATCTTACTTTGCCCTTGTTTGAGCCCCATTTTTTGGGTTTAATAGATTTTGAAATAATGAATTTTTGGAGAATATGTGGTTAAGAAGAGGGAAAAGTTTTGGATTTATGTGCAAAATATTTTATTGTGTGAATGCGTGGTTGAAAATAAGTTTGAAAAAAAATGAGTTTTTGGGAAAATGGGGATCAAACAAGGGCTTTAAGTGTAATCATTTGCTTGCATCTAACTGTAATATCTATGCTTTCCTTTCCCTGCAGGTGGGTTGTACCCAACGTATTTAAATTTGGAGCTGTTGACCCCATTGTCGAAATGGTTTTTGATAATGAGAGACATATATTATATGCACGCACTGAAGAGATGAAAATACAAGTATTCTCTTTTGGACTAAATGGAAATGGCCCACTCAAGAAGGTGGCTGAAGAAAGAAATTTGATCAATCAAAGGGATCCTCACTATGGTGGTCGACAACCAGCAGGGCCGAGGGCCCCATCTCGGTCAACTAAATTGTCTATAGTTTGTATTTCACCTTTATCTACCTTAGAGTCAAAGTGGTTGCATCTTGTTGCTGTTTTGTCGGATGGCAGAAGGATGTACCTTTCGACTGCTCCATCTGGTGGGAACAATGGTGCTGTTGGAGGTTTACGCAGGATTGGTACTGATCATCAGAGACCAAGCTGCTTAAAAGTTGTAACAACCAGGCCTTCTCCTCCTATAGGGGCGGGCAGTGGGCTAGCCTTTGGAGCTCTATCTCTTGCTGGAAGATCTCAAAGTGAAGATCTGTCACTGAAGATTGAAGCAGCATATTATTCTGCCGGAACTCTTGTCCTTTCAGATACATCTCCTACTGCCATATCTTCGCTTCTTATTGTGAATAGGGATCCTAGCACACAGTCTTCATCTTCGAGCTTGGGATCAGGTGCAACAAGCTCTCGCGCACTTCGGGAATTGGTGTCATCGTTACCTGTTGAGGGCAGGATGCTTTTTGTAGCAGATTTGTTACCCCTGCCTGATACAGCGGCCATTGTGCATTCTCTATATTCACAATTAGAACTCTATGGGTTGAATAACTCATTTGAATCCTGTGAAAAGGCATGCTATAAACTTTGGGCTAGAGGTGATCTTTCCACCCAACATATATTACCAAGAAGGAAAATTGTTATATTCAGTACCATGGGCATGATGGAAGTAGTTTTTAACAGACCAGTTGACATCCTGAGAAGGTTGTTAGAATCCAGTTCACCAAGATCACTATTAGAGGACTTCTTCAATCGGTTTGGTGCTGGGGAGGCAGCTGCAATGTGTTTGCTGCTGGCTTCAAGGATGGTATATACTGAGACCTTGATAAGCAATGTTGTTGCGGAGAAGGCAGCTGAAGCTTTTGAGGACCCTCAAATTGTTGGAATACCACAACTAGGAGGCAGTGGTGCATTGTCAAATACTAGAACTGCAACTGCAGGGTTTAGCATGGGGCAGGTTGTTCAAGAGGCTGAGCCTGTGTTTTCAGCAGCTCATGAAGGCCTCTGTTTGTGCTCATCAAGGTTACTTCTACCTCTGTGGGAGCTTCCTGTTTTTGTTACAAAAGGTGGCCAAGGTTCTTCAGATTCTACGTATGAAAACCTGATAGTTGTATGCAGACTCTCTGTTGTTGCGATGAATGTCCTTGAGGACAAAATTCGCTCTCTAGAGAAGTTCTTGAGTTCTAGAAGAAATCAGAGGAGGGGGCTGTATGGCTGTGTTGCAGGTTTAGGAGATTTAACTGGTTCAATTTTGATTGGAACTGGATCAGGTCTTGGTGCTGGTGACAGAAGTATGCTGCAAAGTCTCTTGGGTTCCTACTCCCGGAATGGTGAGTCAGGCGAAGATGGATCATTAAACAAAAGGCAGCGACTTCCTTATAGTTCTGCAGAACTGGCTGCAATGGAGGTAAATATATCTTTCAAGATTTGTGCATTTCTCTGTACTCAAAATATAGTACATAACCAATTGGATTGTCCTCCAGGTGAGAGCAATGGAGTGTATCAGGCAGTTGCTCCTCAGATGTGGAGAAGCACTATTTTTACTTAAACTGCTTTCACAACACCTTGTAGCACGCTTAATTCAGGGTTTTGATGCTAATTCAAAGGAAGCAGTAGTTCAGTTAACATTCCATCAGCTAGTTTGTTCCGAAGAGGGTGATCGACTAGCTACAAAGCTCATCTCTGCCATGATGGAGGTACTTAACATGTGGCCATTGATGTCCGTCATCTTGTCCTTCGAAGAATTTCTTATCTATTGTTTGATTTACCTTATGTGACCTTCTTGCAAGTAACTTTTCCTTTTAAGTTAAAAAAATGAAAAAAAGGGAAGAAATAAATGAAATAAACAGTCTTCTTTCTCATGCTCCCCTAACCCCAACCTGAAGTCCACCGCTCAAGCCCCCAATCCTAGACTACATCCCCGCCGGGGGGGGGGGGGGGGGGNAAAATAATTCATGCAATTGACCCCAAAGGCTTAATTGACGTATGTTTTTTTATTTACATGTTTAAACTTGGAGAAAAATTTGTCTTTTTGGTGCATTAACTGAAAATTATAAAAAATAATTCATGCAATTGACCCCAAAGGCTTAATTGACGTATGTTTTTTTATTTACATGTTTAAACTTGGAGAAAAATTTGTCTTTTTGGTGCATTAACTGAAAATTATAAAAAATAATTCATGCAATTGACCCCAATGGCTTAATTGACGTATGTTTTTTTATTTACATGTTTAAACTTGGAGAAAAATTTGTCTTTCATGTCCGCTTAACAATTTCTTTGTTAGGGAATGGAAACCATTGGGACGAAATGCACCAAAAAATGGGCAGGTTGAGCAATGAAATCCTTAGAAAAAAAATGTCTGGACTAGAAATGCGGGGGGTGGGGTGTCAAAGTTTGGGGACCTCATGTGCATTATTGTAAACACTACAAGTCTAAAAACCCTAAACTTATAAGTGCTAGCATCAATTATCATTTAAACGATAAATGCAGAAAAATTATAAGATTTATTTTTGCAATGAATAAATTATCAGTGAATTTAAGTGACCCAATAATTTGTAAAGTAAATAAAATACTACATAATTGCATTATTTAGCTCTCATCATTTGAAAATAGTTGATAACATGTAATGAGCTAATATCCAATAAGTAAACTACATGCACGGGTTGTATTTTCATGTTATACATATGCATTACTTTTAAATAAGTAACTTTTCAAATTTGTATCCCCTTTCTTTCTTTTCTTTAATCACTTACATTAACGTTTCTGAGCTCAATTTAGTTTATCGTCTAGCCAATTAAATGTATATGCCATTAATATTTGGAACCCTATTCAATCTAGCGATAGTAGTGCTAGTGGTTAGCATTCAACATTTAACATTGGTCGGGTGCACTGTCCCCATGCTTCATTTTCATTCACATCTTTCATGGCATAGTCATACCTCTTTAAAAGTAACTAGATACTTATTCTTTTAAAAAATATTTGATGTAGGACAATCATATTGCTATTGTAAATTGGATTAGGATTAGATATTTATAATAAGATGTCTAGTTATAATAAGTTTTATCATTTTATTCTAATTTTTTGTTTAGAATATGATTTCTTTTCTTTATTGATTATAATAGGATTTCTAATTTCTTTCCTTTTAGAATTTAATTTCCTTCTATTAGTAGGATTAAGAAATAGTTTTGCCTATAAATAAAAATGCATTGTACACTTTTCAAGGACAATTAATTATTATTCAATATATACAAAACATGATTGTTGAAATATCGTTCTTATTTATTACATAATTCTTATTATAAGAATTTCTATACGATTCCGCACCAATATTCTTTTTTACCAACACATTTATAAACTTTTTATTTCTTGAAATTTGATACATGCTTATGGATGCATAGACATACATGAATATGTCGAGAAATATTAATGATATAGAAATGCATTAATCACATAATAACAATTTTGGTATTATATTTATACATGTAACAACGTAACATACACATGAAGACAAAGTGACGTTAACTTACCTCGAGTCCTAGCAATTTAATTTTCGAATGGCAAGGGGAGATGTTTTTAGCCACCTATGAAATCAACGTGCCAAAATTCTAATTGATTATTTAGAAATTTCGACAAAATCCCTCTTTAAATATGAACCCATAACATAGCTATACGAAGCCCCTGTTTGACTCCCCTTAAATTAAAATTCATTTCTCCCTCTTCTTATTAACTACACATTCTCTAATAAAATGATATTACACATAAACTTAAAAACTTTTAATTTTTTTAAATCGCACATTCTCAAAAAAATTATTATCTCTCATTATAATGTTGAATAATGGAGCCCAAACATATGCTAAATTAATTAGCCATTGTTTGAGTCCCATTTTTGGGGGAAATGTGCTTTGGAATAGTGATTTATTTGAAGAATGTGTGGTTAAGAAATTAGGAGAAAAATTTGGATTTACGTGAAATTATTTTATGGGAGAATGTGTAGCTGAAAATGAGCCCTTGTTTGATGGTCATTATGAAGAGAAATTTGTGGAAAAATAATATTTTGAATAGTAATTTTTTTGGAAAATGTGTAGTTAAAAAGTAAGAAAAAGTTTTAGGCTTACGTGTACAATATTTTATTATGTAAATGTGGTTGAAAATGGGTATGAGAAATAAATAATTTTAATTTAAAGAAAGTCAAATAGGGGTTGAGTTTTGGGAAACATGGGGCTAAAAAATGGGCTTAATTTATTATCATCATTGTTGTAAAACCGTATGTGTAACACAAAAGTGCTATGGTTCACAAAATTAAAAGTGAATCCACTTTAAAAGACATCTTCAAGTCCAATAGGTACTAATTAGTTCAATAACCATTAAAATAATAGTTCAATAATCCATTAATATAATAAATCCCTTTTTCTACAAAATTCAAGAAAATTTAATATAAATGTCTATAGCCACATAAATGCAAACACATACATCTTTGTACACACACGTCTATATATACACACATATACTTATAAACCCTTGTAGTGGAGTGAATAAAAAAAGGGGAAAGGGTTTGAAATTATAATGAGTATTATTCTCATTTCTTTTTGAGATAGTTTAATTGTCCAAGAATCTGGTTTAATGTCCCATTGCTATATTCAAAAAATTATAAAGTAATATATGAATATGAATAAACAAATATATCTCTTCTAATACATATAAAAATTTATATGAAGTAATGTAACATATTTAGAAGAGTAAACCTAAGTGAAAGATTAGATTTTGTAACAAATTTTCTGGTGGTCGATACCATACTTACAGCCACCTATATATATACACACACACACATACATGCATACATGTAGATACATACAGAAAATATATATAAACACCTATAACGTAAACATATATACATATACAGATACATATATATGTATATACATACATATGCACACAACCCACTGCCTATACACATACATACACGTACAACATATATATAGGTAAGTTTATATTCATGAATGTGTGCATACTACCTATCGAAAAAAAAAAGGATGTTTGTGCATGCACAGTACACACATTTGCCTGCAAAGAGGTGTAGAATATGAAAAGACTGCTATGCAATTTCTTTAACCAATTTCAGTGGACTATTATGAAAGTAAACATGAATTTGACCATACTATTATCCAAACAAAGCAAAATAAAAAAATTATAGTACCTTGTAAAATCCCAAGTGCAGAATGTAAACAAGACGAAATGTAGAGATTCTTTTGGGGTTTCATGTTTCTTTTGATATGAAGGATAAATAATGGTTTTCTTTCCTTAAAAAAGCTGCATGAATATGTCTCTTATTTAAATTATAAATATAAATTATGGGCTAAGTTGATGCTAATTTGGTAACTAAATAACAATTTTTGGCTTAATTAGTGCACTAAATAATCAATTGGTGCCTAATTATCCTGTCAATTAAGTAAAAAAAAAAAATTAATTAGAGGAAAACATAAAACCAATTAGATATATCTATAATTTTCTTTATATCTTGGTTTATTTTATCATAAAAAACTTTAATAGGCATGATGATTGTCTAGGTCGTCCGAAATGGATCCCACTGAAAAAATACCATTAATCATAACAACATTAAATTTATGAGTTAAAAATTAAATTTAAGGGCAAGCATTATAATTAGATACAACAATCATGTAAGAGACGTGTCGTTATAAATATGCCATAAATTAATTATGAAAGTTGGCTAAAAAGTTGTGTACAGATAGTTTTATTACTTAAAAAATAGCACATTCCTTTCCAGTACTTGAAATTTTGGTCAGCTTATATTTATTGACTTTATGAAACATTTATTTGTAAGTACAATTTATGCTAACACACATAATTGAGATAGTACAACAACTTATAAGTCAATAAATCAACGTTACACGAGTTATAAATTTTATCAAGCCAACTACCTCTTACTTTTGGAACTTTATGATCATGATCATTGACATTGTCTCTCTCTCCCCATTTTTTTACTGGCACGCATTGATTCAGCATGTCATTTTTGCACTCCTTTTGGACATTTCTCTCACATCAGTAGTCATTTATTTTTTCAGTATTACACTGGTCCTGATGGCAGAGGAACGGTAGGTGATATTAGTGGTAGATTGCGGATTGGTTGTCCAAGCTATTACAAAGAGTCTGATTACAAGTTTTACTTGGCTGTTGAATGTCTTGAGAAAGCTGCTGCTACTTCTGATACAGAGGAAAGGGAAAACCTAGCTAGAGATGCCTTCACTAACCTAAGTTCAGTTCCAGAGTCTGTAGACCTGCAAACTGTTTGTAAGCGCTTTGAGGATTTAAGGTTTGTTGAGTAGGACAGTGTTTTGCAATTTTTTTGAAATTCTTTTTATTGTTGGATTATCTTTTCTCAGTCATAACATGCTAAGTTAATTGCAGATTCTATGAAGCTGTGGTTAGATTACCTTTACAAAAGGCGCAGACTCTTGACCCTGATAGTGATGCTTTCAATGAGCAAATAGATGCAGGGATTCGAGAGCATGCTCTTGCTCGGCGTGAGAAGTGCTATGAGATCATCACGAGTGCTCTACGTGCTCTAAAAGGTGAATCATCGAGGAAAGAATTCAGTTCTCCTATCATACCTGTTTCCCAATCTGTCCTTGATCAAGGGTCTCGGAAAAAGTATGTATGCCAGATTATTCAACTTGGTGTCCAGTCATCAGATAGAGTTTTCCACAAATATTTGTATCGAACACTGATTGAGTTGGGCCTTGAAGATGAGTTTTTGGAATATGGAGGGCCAGATTTGGTACCATTTTTGCAAAGTGCTGTAAATGAACCTGTTCAAGAGGTTTGACCACCCCCTTACACCCTCCCATTCTGTTTGTCAATATGATTTATGTAATTTTGTTCGGACCCAAATTATTAGTGTTTATTGAGCTTTGATGCATCCGAAATCATAATTGTCAAGCCAAGGCATTTTGATGGCTGCTGTTCTAATTTTCAGAGTTCAAACTCTGTTTGAACTCATAATTTATATATTTTTTTCACCTACCTCTTTGGCTAACTTTTATAGGTCCGCTCTGTTTCTGCTTTGACACCACCAGCTTCCCAACCGGATCACTTAAGAGGACCTATAACATTTAATCAAATAAAATGCTTTGAGCTTCTGGCACGATATTATGTCCTGAAGCGGCAGCATGTTCTTGCTGCTAATGTATTTGTAAGGCTAGCAGAAAGGCGCTCCAGCGAAGCAGGGGATACCTTGACACTGGAAAAAAGGTACTTACTTTTGATCACAGAAGTATGATCAAGTTATCTTTTAGAAATGTGGCATGAAACTTCGTATTAACCCATGTTTTTATCTTATATTTGCCTTCCATCCATATTCTTTTGATTGATGGGAAATGTCTTTTCCAGTAGTTAATATGCTTAAGCATCCACCTATGCTAAGTTGGAAGTTTTATTCATTTAGACAGGAAATCTTTTTATTTGTTGAAGGTGCTTGACTTTCTTGATACCACACACTGATGGTCATTGTTTAAAGTTATCTTAAGTTCACGAATTTTCCAAGCTCTTGACATGAAATCACAGTTGTTATGGACAGGTGTTCATTCGTTGTGCCATGCCTAGGTTACCATTGCTGAAGCTAAACATTAAAATATTACTACATTGGAGTTTGCCGCTTTCCTTGATCAGAAGTATGCAATAGTAAGACTTAAAAATGACTAAAAAAATCATCATTGTAGTTGGAGCATGTAAAATAAGTAAAAGGTACATTTATGTGACTTTATGTTTGCAAACATGTTTGGACAAGTTACTGTGTTCTAACTTCTAAAGTACAAAGAGTTTCTTATTATGAAAGTAACTTGGCTTGCTGTCAAAATAACTACTACTAATTTTGATTAATATTAAACAGTAGTCTTGTACTTATATGTTAACTTGTAAGTGAGCTTTTACACTTAAACCAATTAGTACTTCATAATCTGTCAACTGGTGCAATTGCTTGACGCGATAATCTCTTTGGTAGACATGATTTCAGTATTGGTTGAGACCATGTCAAGCAGTACATAACAAAATTGTGTATGAGACTGTAAACCATTCCTTGACTCTTCATATCTAATATGAAATGTAAATTAAAAAAAAAACACCCAAAACAATTAAGAAACTGCAATGATATCTCAAAGTAGAAAATTGGAAAATGAGAACAATTAACAATTGTTATTAACAAAAGAAGCAACAAATTGCAAAATGAAAATTTCTAGTTGAAGCTGGCTGCTGGATATTGCGTGTGTTTGTGTCATCGCTCATGTTGTCACAATTTTATCAGGATTTAGTACTAATGACGAGATTGAGTGCCTTTTGGCCGCCATGCACTATATTAACCAAAATACATACTTCTAGGCCTCCATGCAGTTATATCTACGAGAATTCTTTGCTCACCATCCACAACACTTGATAAATGTTGATATATATATATAGTGAACAAAAAAGGGGCTTTTACATAGAAGCCAATTTCCCTCGAACACATTAAAACAAACATTATTTAGAGTGGATGTAATTTTTCAAAAATAGATTGGTACTTGGTTGCTTGATGCTCAATTCTTATTTAGTTAATGATTTCAGTTTGTCTTCTCTCATTCTGTTGATGTTAGGCGTCAATACCTGAGCAATGCTGTCCTTCAGGCTAAGAGTGCCAGAGAGAGTGATACTCCTAATTTTTCTGGCCGCGGTGCAATTGACAATGGACTGCTGGATTTACTTGAGGGGAAGCTTGCTGTTCTTCAGTTTCAGATAAAGATTAAAGAGGAATTGGAGGCTATGGCCTTGAGACTAGAGGCTTCTCCTAGTGAATCGAAATCTATGGCAAATGGCTCATCACCTGATAGCAGCAGTTTTGTTGATGCCAATCTTGTTCATGCTGTACGAGAAAAGGCAAAGGAATTATCACTGGATTTAAAGAGCATCACTCAATTATATAATGAATATGCTGTTCCATATGAACTCTGGGAGGTTCGTAATTCCTCCTCACCTTTCTCCAGTGTGATGAAAGGCTCCCTATGCTGTGCTTAGCTTAAGACCTTCTATTGCCAGCTAATCTTGTTACATGTGCATATATTCACGTGTCATTGCTATTCTCAAAGGATCTGGGCCCCTTATATGATTAGATCAAGAGAGTTTTTACTGATATGGTTTAATTCAAAAGATATATAAATTAGCATTTTGATAAGTATATTGATGTGGGAAGTGTGAAATTGGTTTTAGTAGTAAACATTATCCGTATCTAGCCTGGTTATTCATTTCTTTTATTAGTTCTCATCTTGGAAAACTTGAGCTTGTGATTTCTTCCTCAACACTTTTCCTGACGAGTTATCTTTCTCCATATTTCTTCCTTGCACAGGGTGACTGCTCGAGATAGTTTTGTCCGCCATAACGAAAAGAAGAAATTTCTGTGCACGTTCTAGACTTTTTAACCTAATTTAATGTTTAGACTGATTGCAAATTGCCATGATTGCCTGACCATTTTTGAGTTGTTTCTTCTATACTTCCCCTTCTATGACACATTACTTGATTTTGCCTTGCACCATAGCTATTGTCAACAACTATATGTACCCTATTTCTCCATTTAGCTATTTGTTAGCTCATGTCCTCCAAAGTCGTGATATATCAATTTTTTTCATGAACATAGAAGGTACATGAATGTAGGAACACCCATGTCCACACAGCCAAAGTGAGGAATGGGAAGTCAAGTGGTCGACAAAGAAAAATTATGGTTTTGAGGATTTAAAATGTGTGATGAAGTTTCTAAAATTTGACATGATTCCGTGCAAATGATCTCTTGTTTGATATGGAGAAGAATCTAGTGACTTTCCAATAACCACGAGTTTCCATTGAGGTTCAATGACGATAAGACCTTGTTCCTTTTTTTATTCTTTTCGCGGATTAGACATTAATGTGGCATAAATAAAAGTTTATTGATAAATGTTGTTTGCTGGATGGGATTAGTTGTAGAATGTATATTATTACCATGTGCAAGTTTTTGGAGGTAAAAGAAAATTTTGATAAGAGACTGAGTCGATAATAGATTAGCATGATTTACGGTCTAGGATCTGCATTATGTCACTTCCTTTTATTTCAATTGTAATATTTCCTCATGCTAGGTTATTTTGCCAAAGTCTGGTATGATTCATCATCTTTATGGTCCTATCTTATAATTTAGCTTAGAAACTTTCCAGCTTGGTACTCATGATTTACATGTGGTGATCTTTTTTTGCCCTCACTGATATTTGGAAGGTAGTGTAATTTTCCCATTTTTCATTTCTTAGTAGAATGTTGTAATTAGTGAAGGTGAACAGAGGACACAATGATTATCACTTTTATTCATCATATTTATTTTGCCTTTTGGTTCCCAGATATGTCTGGAAATGCTATATTTTGCAAGCTATTCTGGCGATGCTGATAGCAGCATTGTAAGGGAGACCTGGGCTAGACTCATTGATCAAACTCTTTCAAGGGGTGGAGTTGCTGAAGCTTGTTCTGTATTGAAGAGGGTTGGTTCCAATATTTTCCCTGGGGATGGAGCTATTTTACCTTTAGATACATTATGTCTTCACCTGGAGAAGGCTGCGCAGGTAAAAAGTTAATTTCATGGAAGCTTGGTCTTATTATTCTTTCAGTTGACTTTTTGACTTGTAAAGTTGATATATAACATCTAGTATTTGCTGATAGATTAGGCAATTTCTAATATTACTTCACCCATCTTATTTCTTTTCTTTAATCTTTGTAGGAGAGGGTTGTTTCAGGGGCTGAAGCCATTGGCGATGAAGACATTGCGAGGGCTTTTCTTGCTGCATGCAAGGGTGCTATAGAACCAGTACTTAATGCTTATGACCAGCTGCTATCCAACGGAGCAATTTTACCCTCTCCAAGGCTAAGGTTACGTCTTATCAGGTCTGTGCTAGCTCTACTTCGTGAGTGGGCAATGTCAGTCTTTGCACATAGAATGGGAACAAGTGCTACCGGGGCCTCTCTTGTTCTAGGTGGATCATTTCCTTTCACACAAACTACAGTCAATAATCAAGGTGTTCATGATAAGATAACAAGTGCGGCGAACAGGTCAGTTTTTCTTTTTTAAATCACTGGCTTCCACAGACTGTTAATCAATGCATAAAACATTTGACTTCTGTTTTTAAAATAGGATGCACTCTTCCAAAATAAACGATTCTTTTCCTTAATATGGCAATGTCATTTTATAATTTTTCCCACGTTCAGAGTTAAAATACATGGCCTCACTTGATGCTGCATGTCAAAAATATAATTGGAAATTCCATAAACTACACCACTTTCCATAACAATGCAATTGTGCCAAGTCAAACAAAGACATTCAATTTGTAACCGAGGGAGTGCTGTCTTCTGAATGTGCTTAACATCATAGGGAGTTTTGAGTAATGCTTGGGACTCTTTAAGATTGTGGGCTGGGGACTTTTGGACTAATCTTGGACAATTGCCCTCATTAGTCTCCTTTCTGTTGACACCTGAAGTTGTATATTAACTCGTATCTTCCCCTTAGATGGAAAGAAATTTTGATCCAGTGGGAGACTTGCACTATTTTTAAGTTATTAAAGATAAAAATAACTAGTTATATGTTTTCCAAAAGTACATTGGGACATGTTCTAAAATATGAAAAATAGCCTTGATGGTTCAAGTGTGTTGAGCCTGGGTTAGAGTTGGGTTGGGCCAATTTGATGTGCACTGTTATAATTTGCTGGCAATGCCCAGTCCTGGCTCACCTATCCATAATTGAAATTTCTTAACTGATTCTCTTGCTTCTTTTCAATTACCCGAGCCTTTCTTGAACTTTAGTTCACTTAATAAGTCGAGTCTTAAGAATTGATATTTGTAGCTAGCTTTAAGTCCTTACTTTATTTTTATATCCTCTCTTTTATGATAACTTTTATCAAGTACTACAAAAGTTACTCCTAACAGTGGGCCTCGACTAATTTCTGTAAACAGATATATGGCTGAAGTGCAGAGGTTGCCTCTTCCTCAAAGTCAAACAGAGGTTGTGTACCGGGGTTTCCGGGAGCTTGAAGACTCACTTTTGAGTTCTTTTCCTTTTGAACGGTTGTAATTTGCTCCTGCAGGTTTGGTACGGATTGCTTGTTAAACATATTTTTGTGGTATAAACTTCTTTTTACTTCAAATTTATTTGCCCTTTCCACACAAGTTTGCAATGCTTTAAACCGAGTATGTGATCATAAAAATAGGTGGTTTAGTTGTTTACATCAGATTAATCTTTAATTTAGTCAACCATCATGCAAAATTGTCATAGTAGGATTTGAACAACCAGTTTTATGGAATTTATTGTAAAATCTGCAGAAAGCTGTGTGAACGATCAACTTCTGAACCTTTGATACTTCATTTATAGCCTGAAAAGTTCCAATTGGTCATTACTTGTAAAGTTTGATGTATTTTGTTTAATGTATCTTCGTAGAATATACTGTAATCTTGTCCTATGTGCACTTTTTTTGGACAGATCAAATACTTAGTGTTGGACTAGAATTTGTTAATTATAGGACACGTTTTTTGCTGTAACCGCCAATTTTCATATATATCTTCTCCATATGTCATTTATTCTAGTTAGAGCCTGATTTTCATTTATCCGTTTTACTCAATTCAGTTTCATTCATATCAATTATTTATATTTTATTTTATTTATAACACAAGTTTAATGATAATGGGACTTTTTTTTTGACGAAATGAAGTTAGATGCATGAGATTTTGTTACGATTTTGGTGACTATGCAACCATAACAAATAGTTAGGGTTGGATATGGTATAATTTGGTTCTAAAGAGAATCGAATCGAATCGAATCAAAATTTTCGATCATTGGATGATAGATGATATTACATTTTGTAAAGTTCAGTAACTAACGGAGAAATTTTTGAAATTTAGTGACCCTTTGGGAACATTATGCAACTTTATGCAAAGTTTAGTGATCAATTAGGAAATTAACGTTCAGTAACTGACGGGGAACTTTTGAAGTTCAGTGACCTCTTGTAAATTTACGCAAAGTTCAGTGACCAATCGAGTAATTAATCCTTATTTTTATTAATTTTTATGTTTCTTTTTAGTCTTTTTCTTTCTTTATTTTTTTATTTTTTCTACTCCTATCCTAGAATTTTATTTGCTCTAGCATTGCCAAACTTAGAAAAAAGAATAGGTTTTTTATCCCGAAGTAATTAACAAGGTTGTTTGCTGATCTCTTTAAGATAAAAAAGGCAATAGAGGAGGTTCATGCAGTCAACTATGTCAGTAGAGAACCCCTTCAACATTGATCATTTAATAGTATTTAACTTTGAAATTCATGCACATCTTGAGCTGAGAATTTAATAAATTTCTAGTTTTTATTTGGGTGTATCCTAATGGAAAGACGATTGTTGAAACTAAAATAGCTATTAGATTCTTAGATAAAGATGTTTATGAATTTCAAAATGGTAAGATGATGATGATGATGATGATGATAATGATAATGATAATAATAATAATAAGAAGAAGAAGAAGAAGAAGACTAAAAAAAGTAAAAATTAATAAAAATGGGTTAATTACTTGATTGGTGATTGAGCTTTCGTAAGGTTTCCAAGGGTAGTGAGCTTTAAAAAATTTCGATTAATCATTGAACTTCAAAATTCTCTGTTAGTAACTAACTTTAATTCCTTAACTGGTCATTGAACTTTGCGTAAAGTTTTATGGGTCATTAAATTTGAAAAAAATTTTCGTTAGTCAATAAATTTTATAAAATGTAATCCTATTTATCACCCAATGATCGATGAAATTAAATATTGTAAAGACACTTGACTAATGTGAAATTTTTTTTGAAATTCAGTGACCTCTTGAAATCTTTATGCAAAGTTCAGGGAATTAACCCCCCTTTTGGGGATATGGATTAGGCACGTTTGGGTTCTAGGGTTGGTTATGGACTAGGGTTTAAGCTTGAAAGCTGGACGAGCTGCACTTAAATTAAGATACGCGCTAAACTGCCCCCCGGGGCACATCCAAGTTGGCAAAGGATGGGCACTGCTGGGCTTGCAACCTCAGGGTGGGGAGTTCGATTCCTGGATTGAGCAGCTGAGTGTTGTAATACTCAATTTGAGTGGAGCAGCTTGGTAATGTAATATCCATGGAGGAAGGCTCCCTTGGGGCCAGGAGTGAGTATAAAGGGTGCACAGACCATGGTCAACTTGGGCATATCCCGCGGTTAACTTCCACCCATCACTGAGGGGCCGGGGATGGGTGGTCCAGGACATAGGCTAGTGTAAGTTAGGATACCTGGATATCAAAAAAAAAAAAAAAAGATACGAGCTAAACTTTAAAATAAAAAAGTTTCAAAATAGCCTCCCATAAATTCCCCCCCAACATTAGGTGACTTTAATTGAAAACCAAATTAAAATTTTGCTGATTTGGTTGAGATTGTCTTTTCTAGTTTTTTGGTATGTTTTATATGTGATTTATTTTCATTCAAGTACTCATTTTTTGCATTAAGTTTTTCATCAACAAGTTTGTGATCAAGCAACTCAATTTGGTAAAGTACGAGAGAACCCAAATGGTAGGTAAAGTATGACCCTCTTGCAACTTTGCTCCCTATTATTTTGGTGCGGAAATTGCCATTTTCTACGATTTACATCAATTTGAAAGTTAAAAAGTCAAATTTTCACTCCCAAAAGACTATAATATAATGTCCTTTCTTTTAGTTAGCTAAACAAAAAATAAAATAAAATAAATAGAAAGGAAGAAAAACGAAAAGAGAAAAAAAAAGTACTTTTATTCACTTTGTTCACTTCTATTATAAACGGAAAATAAAGATAAAAACCAAAATGTTTCTTCGTGGTGGTTGAATGTGTGAAACTTTGTGGGATGGCATCTTTTATGTGAATAGACTAAAATATCCTCTTGTAAAACCTGCGCTTTTATCGCATGGTTAAGATCTTATAATACATGATGTTGGTGCACAAATCTCAAGAACAACACAATAGCCAGCTTGTAAGGGATATTTGTAAGTGGATGTGATGGTTCATTACCTCAAAACAATTAAAAACCGCTAAATACACAAAAGATAATTCAATGTCAAAATATTTGATTAAGAAAGTATTTTAATCAAAGAACAAGATTATTTTAGTTTTAGTTTCTTAAACAAACTTCTCAAGTGCAATTTAGAGCTTCAAGATTTGGTAGTGTGAATTGATTTGTCTGTGAATGAGGATGTGGTTTATATTACCATGTGATTTTACCAACATTATATCGATATGTTTATAGTAAAATTTTTCATTTTTTTATATGAAATCGCAATGATTAATCTTGTTGCATTCTTTTACATTAATGGAAGGCAAGGTTAGATCAATATTTAACTCTTTTCTCGACGTGTAATACGTTAAAGTTATTTATTATGAAGAACATTAATTCTCGACGGTTCGTCGTTATGAATTGTCAAATTTGACATTTTATATCTACAAATTGTTGAAACTTATATTTGACAATATGAATCAAGTATTTGTTGAATGTTGTGATAAAATTTCGCAAGTGCATGGTATTGTATACAAGTAATAAAGTGATGAATCAATGAGGATTATGAATTTTACTTTGAGTTTATTTAAACCTACCTCTAAGTCGAACACACAAATTTTACATTTCTATGTTTTCAATCATGATTTCTAAATTATCTCAATAAGCGAATCAAAGAGATTTGATAAGCTTTCAAGAAAAATGAAAAACTCAAATTGTATGTCATGTTCTTCAAATTTTAAACATCTTTAAATTCATTCCTTCAACTTTTAAACATATCCAATTATGTCCTTCGTCTTTTTTGGTCATCTATTTAGGTTTTCCAAATTTTGTCCATGTCCTAATTTGTCCCTAAACATTTGACATCTTCTCATTTGGTCCTTCAAGTGTCCAAAGAGATCCAAGTTGGTCCCGAGATTCCTTTTGCTTGATTTAACTCCAAATTAGGGTTTTTACCTAAAATAAAACACAATATACACTAATATGAATATAATTCCTCCTCTAAAACAAATAAAATTAAATAAATTTAAGAGCCTAGGTAAGTGTGCATAACACATTTATCAACAAACAATCAACCAATCACATGAACTAAACTAAAAACGAGCAATTTATTGGATTAAAAAAAAAAAACAAGGTTTCATCAATGATCCTAGCAACATACAATGTAGATAATGAATACTAACATGGAAAACATAGTAGAAAAATTGGGTATAACACTTGATTGTAGATATGAACATCTTCATCTTCAAACTTATCCAAGCCTTGAAATATAACTTGTAATAAAATTTGTCTTATATTGATATATTGGATGATTCTAGAAGTTGGAGAGCTTGGAATATATATAGTGGTCGTTGGAAGCCCTAAATCATGAATAAGTTGGAGCATAAGCCACAAAATTGATTGCTAAGGTAAGACTCCCATGGCAGCCGAAAAAGAAAAAGAGGGCACTCCCTACATGGAGCCCCATTTTCGGAATGATGGAAATGAAAAGGTTGAGAATGTCAAATTGAAGACAAATAAGATAAAAAAAGATTCGCAAGTAATTGGAAAGGAATGTACCATCGTTCGAAAAATGTGAAAAATAAGCATAAAACGGTCGAATTGATTAAATTGCACCATTTGCAGCAATTTTTTTTTTTTTTTCAAAAATATGATATCTTCTCACCCCCAAACATTATTCTCAGCCTTGAAGCTCGACATTGGGATTTATTGCATAGTTTAGTCCTCTAATTTTCAATCATTTTCTAGTTCAATCCTTCAACTTTTGATTGTGTTTACATTGGTAGCCAAGATTTAGAGTCATCCATTTTGGTCTCCAAACTTTCCAAAGTGTTATCATTGTTGCTGAAACTTATGAAATCCTCTAGTTAACTATCCAAAGCTTTGAATCAAGTCCTTACACTTCCTAGTAGTCGTGCAATTCCATCCTTTGCCCCAATTTAAGTTCTAAAATTCTCCTATTTGATTTGTTTACCTACGAATTGGAAATTTAGCAAACAAAAGTCAAATACAATATAAAATGAGCACAAATTTACCCAATTATTAGTAAAATTTTAAGCTAATTTAGAAATT